AAAATGGGGAGACATTGAAACAAATATAAAAATCTAGGCAACACGTTCATTTTAATGGTATTAACTCTACCCCCTAACGATAAAGGCAGTAAATTCCAACGCTCAAGATCTTTCCTGAGACACGCTATAAGTGGGGGAAAATTAGCTTCATAAAGGTTTTTAAACTTATGTGTAATCCAGACCCCTAAGTATTTGAATTTTCCTGTGTTTATCTTAAATGGGAAGGAACTATAAGTAATCTTTTGAGAAGCTGCATTAGTGGGTACAAGCTCACTTTTTTCCAAATTAACTTTATAGCCCGATATTACACTAAAAGTCTCCAATAAATTAAGTAGTTTAGGCAGACTAACAAGGGGATCAGATAAATATAGGAGCATGTCGTCAGCGTATAGAGATACCTTATGTTCTGAGCCCCCCCTCCGTATACCCATAACAGAGGTCTCATCACGCAACGCTATTGCTAGTGGTTCAATCATTATGGCAAATAAAAGTGGTGATAAGGGGCAGCCCTGTCTGGTTCCACGATGTAATGGAAAAAAAGGAGATAGATTATTATTTGTACAGACTGCTGCTAAAGGAAGTGAGTAGAGAACTTTGATCCAACTAATGAACTTTGGGCCAAATCCGTATCGTTTTAATGTATAAAAAAGATAATCCCACTCCACCCGATCAAATGCTTTCTCTGCATCAAGTGATATTACTATCTCCGGAATATCGGATGGAGTGGGATCGTAAAGAATATTGAGAAGCCGCCGTATGTTAAAAAAGGAGCACCGTATTTTAATAAATCCTGTTTGATCATCAGATATTATGGAAGGTAGAACTGTCTCTAGTCTGCCAGCCAACATCTTAGCAAGTATCTTGCTATCCACATTTAAGAGTGAAATAGGGCGGTAAGAGCCACACTCCAAAGGATTTTTATCTTTTTTAGGAATGAGAGATATGACTGCTTGACGCATAGTTGGAGGTAAAGAGCCAGCGATAAACGATTCTTCGAACACAGAAATCAAGACAGGGGCCAAATCCTTAGCAAATTTCTTAAAAAATTCACTCGGAAACCCATCTGGTCCTGGGGCCTTTCTGTTTTGCATAGATTTCACTGCAAGGGTAAACTCTTCAATAGTAAATGGGTTGTCGAGTTCTGCTGCAGTTGTCGTATCTATTAGTGAGATATTTAACTTATTGAAAAAGTCCTCAAACAAAGATTTGTTCTTACGTGACTCTGAACTATATAGTTTGGAGTAAAACTTATGAAAGCATTGATTAATCTGTAAATAATCCATATGTTTAACACCTAAATCATCATTTATTTGAGATATACATCGATCAGCAGTCTTCTGCCGTAACTGATATGCCAAAATCTTACCAGTCTTATCACCATGCTCATAAGTCCTATGCTGTGTCTTATTCATGAGAGTTTCGATATGTTTAGTAAGTAAAAGGTTGTATTCTGTTTGAAGTGTTAGTCTCTGTTTGCATAGCTGAGGCGATGGTGAACCAGCTAACTCTTTATCTACTCTTAAGATGTCATTTGTTAGATTCTCAAGATGCTGCATCCGAGCCTTCCTCATCTGAGCACTATACGATATAATTTGCCCTCTCAAATATGCTTTCATTGATTCCCATATGACTGAGGCGGACATTCCAGGCGTCTTATTATATCGTAGAAAGGTGGCTATTTCATTTGATACAAAGTTAACAAAGGTCTCATCCGAGAGCAGCAGTGTGTTCAGACGCCAGGGGCGGTAGTTATCATGTTTAATTGGTAAACATAGGTTCATGAGTAACGGGGCATGATCAGAAATTACTATTGCGTGATATTCACAGTCACTTACTAAAGGAAGAAGTTTCCTGTCTAAGAAAAAGTAGTCTATACGTGAGTACGTCTTGTGAACCTGTGAAAAAAAAGAGTAGCTCCTAGATAAAGGGTTCCGAAATCGCCAAACATCAGATATTCCATATGTGTCAAGAAATAATTTAATTGTATGAGCTGATTTAGTTTGAGTTATGGTGTTAGATGAACTACGATCTAGAGATGGTGATAGTACACAATTTATGTCTCCTCCCCAGATAAGATGGTATGAGTCTATGTTTGGTAGACGGGAGAGGAAGTTAGTAAAAAATGTGCAGTCATCCCAATTTGGCGCATACACATTGGCTAGAATGACTGGCATATTGTATAATCTACCTGTAACTATGACATACCGACCTGCAGAGTCTGCATCAACCTGTGACATAACGAAAGGAATATTCTTATTGATAAGAATTGCAGTTCCTCTAGATTTAGAGTGAAAGTTAGAGTGAAATGATTGGCCTATCCAGCCTCCTCTCAATCTAAAATGATCAAATGTACACAAGTGAGTTTCTTGAAGGAAGGCGATTCCCACCTTAAGTTGTTTCAGATGTGAAAGAACCTTGCTACGTTTAACTGAATGATTTAGAGACTTAACATTCCAACTTGCAAATGTTACCTGACAACCTGCAGATAGATTAAGCGGCTGTGCTTTTGCCATTTAAAGTAGTAAAAGATATTAGAATACAGTTAAGTACCACAGTTTTGTGTCTTTGTACATAGATGTGAAATCCCTTTGTTGATTCGACATGAGACATAGATAACAAAAAAACAAAATTAACTTCTGGTGCAGCATAAACCCAACCCTTGTCACCGAGAGGAACAGGGTGACCCAACGATCCCATGAGAAAATATCCACACATTCAGTGCTTGTATTGGCGAGGCCTAGACTAACAGGCTGCTCTGCTATAAATATTAAATTGAGCTGCACCTTTAGCAAAACTTGGATACAAAATACAAAGAGGCTATTAATTTTCCAATGTAAACACCGGGGCAGAGTATATACAATAAAGTAAGCAATCTAAATTGTAAACATTTGTTGTTTCTTGATAACACAATTGAAGATTATTAGAAGATAAATCGGCTCTAGCTGCGCTTATTTTACATCACGACTATTCTAAGAAATATGAAATTAAATGTGTCTCTCTAGTGAAGTAACCCTACACCAAACCTGTTGTGTTCATCCACCTTACAGAACATTCGCCTTCACATAAGCCATTGCCTCCGCTGGATCCCGAAAGTCCTTTTCTATTCCGTTGTGCGTGACGCGGAGCTTGGCTGGATGGAGAATGCCGTAGCGAATGCCATCTCGTCCTCGGAGTAGCTTCTTAACGTCGTTGAAAGCGGCTCTAGCGCGCATCACACTGGGGGGATAGTCCGGGAAAATGAGAATTGTAGCTCCTCTGAATCGCAAGGGTCCTGCTTCTCTGGCACGGCGAAGAATTTCGATGCAATCTTGGTAGTAGTGCAGTTTAGCCACGATAGCCCGCGGCTTCCCGCCTGGCCGCTGTGGTTGAAGACCTCTGTGTGACCTATCGACTAACACCTCTTTAATCTGCAGGAAAAATGCGTCGACATGGAGGGGAGAATGAGGAGATCAAACATTCGCATACTTAATGTGTCAGAGGGACAGGGCTCGAGTTCTCCGGCCGCTGTCCACCTCCGCCTCGAGCTTGCGAACCGAGGCTTGGAGAGACGTCACCTCGTCTGAGCACGCAGAAAGCCCGCGTTCCATTTCTGTTACAGTCCCCTTCATCACATCTAAGTCAGAGCGAAATAATGCAATGTTGTTAACAACTTCTGTCTTTACTGCTTGCAGTTCGGCCTTCACACCATCGAATTCGGCAGCAAGAGAAGACTGTAGCTCTGACCTGAGGAGTGTGGAAATGTCCGCTTTTAGCGAGGAAAGAATCTCGGCTTTCGTGTCGGCCATGTCGGATTGCTTAGCTGGCGGCGGCGAGTCGCTAGGCCTGTTAGCGATGCTCTTCCCCGTGTACGTGTATTGACGCAAATTCTTGGCCATATACGCGTTAGTGTCAAAGGAGACGAATGAAAAATGAAAAATAATAAACTTAGGAATATATCCTATACGTTTTGCTGAGCCAAAGATGCCGAATATATAATTTTATATTAAATTTTAGCAGAGCACGCCAAACACACAACCTACTCCATTACCGGCTCACTAGCGCCATATACTAGAATTTTTAATAACTAATAATAATAACGTTTTGTAATGTTTTCAAGAAGAAAAATGTACATTTATGGCAGACGCTCTTATCCAGAGTGACTTACAATTTGATCATTTTACACAGGTAGGCGAAGGTAGTGTTAGGAGTCTTGCCCAAGGACTCTTATTGGTACAGTGTAGGGTGCTTACCCAATTACTCAGGTGGCAATTGAACCCCAGTCTACAGCATAGAAGGCAGAGATGTTACCCACTACACTACACCAACCACAAAAAAATTTATTTTTACATCTCTGGAAGGCTCAGAAACCATCAGTAACAAAGGAAGGCCTGAAAGAAAGGAAGACCTCTATTGATTTCCAATCATTGGTTTAAAGTTTTAACACCCCCCAGTCAAACAGCATGTTTTATTTATTTCCAATAGCTCACTGCTACTGGAAATTTTTCTGCAAAGTTCAGAGCACATTTTGCATTTATTTGCTGAGTTTAACATATTTAAAGAAAAAAAACATAAAATATTAAATGTGTCATAACTGCACATGCCACATTTTATGTTTAATTTCTTCCCCCTGTGTTAAAGTGAGCCAATAAACAGTAACTGTGCACTAAAATGTGCATAAGTGTGTTCTCTGTAGAGGATGTAGCTTATTTTCACTTAGAAAATCAACAAATCAATGTCATTTGATCAGGGGCGCACAGAATTTTGCACATTTTAGCTTAAAATTAACAATAATAAATAAAAGTTAATCACCGCTATGCAATTTTACAAGTTAATAAAAGGAAATGAAACAGTAGCTGCTCTGTAGAAAAAAAGAGCCTGTATTATGTAGGCGGGCCCTTTAAATTTCCAGCGAGCACATTTAAGCTCCGCCCACAAGCCCCGCTGCTATTGGATGGCCGAAAGCGATACTGATGATTTCATTGGCTGACAGGCTGTCATTTAAAAATAAAGAGGAAAACAAACCAGCGCTACAGAAAAAAGGTCTGGACGTCTTTCTGCTGGAGTTTACAGTAAACAGTTATCAGAGGTTTTACGTTTTTAGATTCGTTTCTGTAAATTAAGGTTTATTTAATTCAGCTCTGCGTCCGCAGTCACGCCGAGCTCTCGAAGACGCGGATTCCCCTGAGCAGCTTCGGCCATCTCACCACAGAAGCGAAGGTAACCTGCTGACAGGGGAACTCCACCGAATTTTCAAGAGTTCTCCATTAGTCAGATAGTTCAGATGTAAACAGAGCCATTCAGAGGGGTCTGTTGTGAAACGCTTCGTTCTAGAGTCAGAACTGTTCACAGTGGTGGTGATAGGAACCAGACGCCCACCTCTAAAAGCCCCCTCACAGAAAGTTACTACATGACGTGTTTACGAATACTCAGCCTGATGTCTGAGTCTTTGTTTTACGGTAGTTTTGAAATAAAGTTTTGGTCTAAACCGACGTATTTTAATGAATTCAGGGTGGAAGCATACATGAAGGGTGTTCTAAGGCAAAATAGTCCCCCAAAACTCTTCGACTATTTTACCATCATCAACATTCCATATAAAAACAGGAATTCCCCTTTAACCATGTAGTCAAGTATGTTGATACATATTCATATTTTATCTCATAGATGTTAATTCCCTTTATAGATAGGCCTGAAGTTAGTGTGCAATAACGAATCATCATTTTGTAATAATTTCATTTAATGGAATGGACAGTGCCATAGGCTTGTTCTGTTGTGTCAGAGTTTGTTGTCCTGGGCTGTATAAAATGTACTTTTTAAATGAATTTTGTATTACAAGCGCTATTCCAAAAAAGTTGGGACAGTAAATAACATGCAAATAAAAACAGAAAGCTGTGATTTATAAATCTGTTTTGAGCTATATTTTAACAAAAACAAGGAAAAAAACAAAAGCATCTTATCAACCAACATGCTTCTGTAACTGATATTACCAGATGGGCTTGGGCATATTTTGACAACCTGCTGAGGATAAACACTCTTCATTGCCGCATCCACAAATGCAACTTAAGACTGTACCACAGAAAGCCATATATTAACAACATCCATAAACGCTGCTGACTTCTCTGGGCTCGAGCTCATCTGAAATGGACTGATGCTCAGTGGAGACATGTGTTGTGGTCTGATGAGTCAACCTTTCAGATTGTTTGTGGAAATAATGGATGTTGGGTTCTCTGAGTCAAAGAAGTGAAGGACTATCCAGATTGTTACCAGCATAAAGTTCAAAAGCCAGAGTGTGATGGTACGAGGGGGTTTTAGTGGGTAACTTGCACATCTGTGAAAGCAAAATTAACTCTGAACACATTTTGGAGCTTGCTGCTTTCTAGATTACGTCTTTTTCAGGGACACCCTTGCTTATTTCAACACCAAGAAATATTCTGCATGTGTTACAACAGCATGGCTGTGTAATCAGAGGGTGCAGATGTTTTTTAAAGACTTTTTAAACTCAAAATATGACAATAAAGGCCCAGTATGGTCACACAGCTGAAGACTAGTATAATGAAGAAAGGCAAAATATTTTGCTTTCAAAACTGGAATAATGTATTATTGTACTATTTCCAATTTAATACAGGTCAAATGGAATTTACTAATCACTGCTTTCTGGTTTTATTAACATTTGCAAGTTGTAAATATAATTTTTTTTTGTGAGAGCAAAAGAAGAAGCATTTAAAAATTAGCATTGATAATAAACAAAAGTTGATGTGAACAAGTTCTCAGATTTTTTTAAGCTAAACTCTAGGGATGCACAGTGATATCAATGATATCATATTGGTATCAAAAGATGGTTGTCTTAAAAAAAATAAGCATTGGGCAGATGTTTAGATTTGAATGATATTTCAGATCGGTATTTGATGATGTGTTTTTGTGCTCTGGTATGCAGTCACTCTTAAGCAGTGGTCCACACTGGGCTTTTCCACCATTAATTGTCTTTAATAGTTCATTATCTATTAGTTTGATCTAATGTTTGTCAAGGTCTCCCAGAAGTACTTGACAGGTGTTTTCAGACATAATTTTTGAAACCTATGTTGTTAATGATTTCTCTGATATGGTGTAAAATAAAACCTTGTTATGGCTTACTTTTACTTAGCACTATCAACTAAATGTTGACGCAACCATAACTAACCAGGCTACCTTAGTGGTGTTTGGTAGTTATGCTGAACCTTCAGCCTGAGAACACTGTATGGAAAGGGTAGTGTTACTTTTTCATAGAAAATCCAATAAAGTTTTGAGTTCCATTATTTGTTTTTATTTTAAATATTAACTGATTATTTGTGTAGTTTTTAACCATAGCAATGCATGACAATCATATGGTATAAGCACCAAAATGTTATTTTTTTAATATAAGTGATAATATATATAATTTAATACAGGTTTAATTATGTGGTGAATCAAGTGGGTATGCGCAGGAAATGGATGGATGGATGGATGGATAGATAGATAGATAGATAGATAGATAGATAGATAGATAGATAGATAGATAGATAGCCATTTGAGCCACCAAGCCAGTGAATGTTGTGGGCGAAATTAAGAATTTGTGGTCAGAATGTTAGAAACAGGTTTATCGTATATACAGTCGTATGCTAACGTCTGAATATCCTGGTCAAATTCCGTAAATACATTTCAAATACAAGTATTTGAACATTTTGAGGCCAAACCACAGGGAGTGAAAATGTTCCATTGAAAGGGAACTTTAAACTGCAGAGGGAGTAGTGAACAATGGTTTATCACTTAGCAGGAAGCTGAAGTAAAGTTTACCCATCGATCATTGCATGTCTCTTGAAGATCCCTCTTGCTTTGTGTTTGGTTATGATGCTGCAGGACGTTCTGAATGAACATCTCATGCTCAGTGTTTAAGGAATATGATGGTACTGCTTAGGGACCCTGTGGAATAGAATGCAGTGTGTGTTTTTTTTTTTTTTGATTTTCTAAGTGAAAATAAGTTACTATCCTCCACAAATTAAATATGGCATTTTTTTTCTGCAAATTTTAGTGCATTTCTATTTATTTGCTGAGTTTAAGGCATTGGAATAAAATAAAACAGAAAAAATGTGCCATAACTTTGGCAGAGGCCACATTTTACATTTTATTTTTTTCCAATATGTAAAATTTAGCAAGTAAACAGTAATTGTGCATTAAAATGTTCAGAAGTGTGTTCTCTGTAGAGGACATGTTCACTTACTTACACTTAGAAAATAAACAAAACATGTCGTTTGCCCAGGGGCGTCTAAACTTTAGCACTCAACCATGCGTTGTATTTAAAAATAAACAAGCATGCTCCAGTAACAAAGTCCAGTCAGGTGTTGCTTAAAAGAAGTAAAATATTAAAAACATAACATTGATAAGAACATCGCCGTCTTGTTATCTATTACAGTGAATACAGCTGGCAAATTCTGAGAAATTTTGATTTGATGCTGTTAGTTCTGGGTCTGGCCAAACAGGCTCTAGATTGGGGGGGTGAAATGTAATGGGTTTACTAGTAATAGTGGACAGCAGTGGTTTGTTAAACAGACAAAAAGCAACGCACAATCTTCAAAACAAGTAACCACTCGGGCCATAGCCTCTGTATTTTCGTGACCAAAATGTGAAAGGTTGTGCTGGGCAGTAGGCAGTGTTGAACCCTGAGTTTAAAAACAGATGATAGATAAATATCTCAGACATGGCAAAAAGAAGGTTGATAAATCCAGGCGAATTGTCACAAAATTAAAAGACATCCAAAGAGAATAACAGTAACTGGACACAACTGTACACAAGAGCTTTTTTTGGAAATGGAACACATGGTTACAATTAGAGGCTAATAAAGAACAGATGTTCTTCAGAATTCTGGAGAAGATGACCTCTGGTGGTGAGTTTAGGATATTAGAGCAACAGTGCTGTGGCTGTTCAGCAATGCAACTCTGGCTCAGAGCAGGACTTCCCAGTCCTGATCAGGGATGGGTGGTTGGATAGGTAGATAAAATTTATTTCCGTAGTGCGTTTTACCATGGGCGTTTTCACTTCCTAAGGGCATGGGGAAGAAACCTTGAGAGAAACCAAGTGACAGAAGTGGTAGATTAACCAATGCTAACCAATGACATGAGTGTTTAGAGTTACCAATGATGACCAATAACAGGAGTGTTTAGAGTTACCAATGATGACCAATAACAGGAGTGTTTAGAGTTACCAATGATGACCAATAACAGGAGTGTTTAGAGTTACCAATGCTAACGCATAACAGAAATGTTTAGATTTACCAATGATGACCAATGACAGAAGTGATAGATTAACCAATGATAACCCATAACAGGATTGTTTAGATTAACCAATGATAACCCATAACAGGAGTATTTAGAGTTACCAATGATGACCAATAACAGGAGTGTTTAGATTTACCAATAATAACCAATGACAGAAGTGATAGATTAACCAATGATAACCCGTAACAGGAGTGTTTAGAGTTACCAATGATGACCAATAACAGGAGTGTTTAGATTAACCAATGATGACCAATAACAGGAGTGTTTAAATTAACAAGTTTCAAGTTCAAGTTTATTTGTCATTTACACAACATGTCAGGACAATCGTGCATTGAAATGCTTGTGGTGAGGCTCCGCTAATCACTCTACAGAAAGTAAACAAAGTAAATATACAAAAGAAAATTCTAAAACTGAAATATATATAATACAGAAAATATACACAATATTTAGAGACAGGAGGGACCTTTGTAAGAAAAAAACTCTCTGCTATGTACAAATATATTTATATTAAACAAAGGATAATCTGTGAAGAATATATATACATTATAAAGGGGCTTAGTGTTAATGTCCATAGCAGTGATGTGATATAATAATAATACTGACAAAGTGACCGAGTGAGATGGTAGTTGGTGAAGGACCCACAGCTTCACAGCTTGTTCAGAAGCCTGACAGCCTGTGGGTAGAGACTGTTCATTAACCGGCTTGTTCTGGCCTGAATGCTGCAGAATCTCCTGCCTGATGGCAGGATGGTGAACAGGCTGTGTGCTGGGTGACGCTATCTGACTGGATCTTTTTGATTTTCCTGAGGCAGCGGGACTGATAGATGTCATGTAAGGCTGGTAGTTTGTTGCCTATGATGGATCCTGCCGTCCTCACCACTCCTTTAAGGGCCTTACGGTCGCAGGCGGTGCAGCTGCTGTACCAGACAGTGATGCAGCCCGTGAGGATGCTCTCTATGGTGCATCTGTAGAAGTTGGGGAGGATGTGAGGAGGCAGTCCAAACTTCCTGAGCCTACGCAGGAAGAAGAGACCCTGATGAGCAGATCTTACAATAGTGTTGGTGTGGAGGGACCAGGTGAGGTCATCAGTGAGGTGTACACAGAGAAGTATTCAGAAGAACCAATGATAACTGATGACAGAAGTATTTAGATGAACCAGTGATAACCAATGAAGAAGTGTTTAGATGAACCAATGATAACTGATGAAGAAGTATTTAGATGAACCAATGATAACTGATGATAGAAGTATTCAGATGAACCAGTGATAACCAATGACAGAAGTATTCAGATGAACCAATGATAACCGATGACAGAAGTATTCAGATGAACCAATGATAACCGATGACAGAAGTATTCAGATGAACCAGTGACGAACCAATGATAACTGATGACAGAAGTATTTAGATGAACCAATGAAAACCGATGACAGAAGTATTTAGATGAACCAATGATAACCGATGACAGAAGTATTCAGATGAACCAATGACGAACCAATGATAACTGATGACAGAAGTATTTAGATGAACCAATGATAACTGATGACAAAAGTATTTAGATGAACCAATGATAACCGATGACAGAAGTATTTAGATGAACCAATGATAACCGATGACAGAAGTATTCAGATGAACCAATGATAACCGATGACAGAAGTATTCAGATGAACCAATGATAACCGATGACAGAAGTATTTAGATGAACCAATGATAACCAATGACAGAAGTATTCAGATGAACCAATGATAACCGATGACAGAAGTATTTAGATGAACCAATGAAAACCGATGACAGAAGTATTTAGATGAACCAATGATAACCGATGACAGAAGTATTCAGATGAACCAATGATGAACCAATGATAACTGATGACGGAAGTATTTAGATGAACCAATGATAACTGATGACTGAAGTATTCAGATGAACCAATGACGAACCAATGATAACTGATGACAGAAGTATTTAGATGAACCAATGATAACTGATGACAAAAGTATTTAGATGAACCAATGAAAACCGATGACAGAAGTATTTAGATGAACCAATGATAACCGATGACAGAAGTATTCAGATGAACCAATGACGAACCAATGATAACTGATGACAGAAGTATTTAGATGAACCAATGATAACTGATGACCGAAGTATTCAGATGAACCAATGACGAACCAATGATAACTGATGACAGAAGTATTTAGATGAACCAATGATAACCGATGACAGAAGTATTCAGATGAACCAATGACGAACCAATGATAACTGATGACCGAAGTATTCAGATGAACCAATGATAACTGATGAAGAAGTATTTAGATGAACCATCTATAGTTGTTTGAGATGATCTTTGATCATAAGAGTGGAAGAACTTGGGCTGGAGTTCTGAGCAGCTTCTGCTTTAAGCTAGAACCCTGCACTGATGAACAGATTGGACTGAGAAACAGGGAGGAAATGGAGTGGTGGGGTGTGAAAACTAAACAGGAAACGGAAGGACGAGATGGAGGTTTTTTTAGGAAATCAGATCGGAAGCTGGAGAATCTTGAGGCATGGTGCTTAGGTTATTTCATAACGCTGTGATCGCTGTATTTCACTGTTTTCTTTTTCTAGTGCGCCACTGAATGTCTTACCAGTGAATTCTCTCTCTCTTTCTTTTTCCTGTAGTTTGTTCTGACAACTTATGGTGTCCTGACTCTCGCTGCAGCTGCCTTCATGGTGAGCCGAAATAAAACAGAGGAACAGACTACATCAGCACTATCCTCTTAAAGAAGCCAATATATATCTTACTTAAATAAAATGTGCAAATTATTAATAATAACCTCCTCTGTGTGGTATGTACAATAGTGTTATTGTTGCACTGATACAGAGGCCACTGTTTTCTCCTTCATTCATTGTCTACAGAGAGACAAACGTTTGCTTTCATGCTTATCAGCCTCATTCGGTGTCCATGGCAACAGCACAGATTTTGCAGGAGCTTGTATCACATGCTCTCCATTCAGGGTTGTCATTTTATTTTATTCTCGTGAATCACGTAACTGCACAGGTGTGACCATAAACCAGGCAAGATTTCAGCTACTGTTTTTCAAAAAGATGTAAAAAATTGTTGCAGATGTTGCTCCAGGCACTTATGTGTTGCGCATGCAATGCAAGCGATTGACCAGCAGAGGGCAGTGCAACATTTGAAGTGCTAGCCTTGAAGGTCAGAACAAAGTCCACCGTTCTCTGTCTTTCACATATGCATGGCTATAAGCAGTATAAGCAGTCATTTGAGGCCCTCCAAGCCACAATAGGGGCCCCCAGTGTATATATAAATATATATAAAAAAGATTTATTTGTAGAAAATTGTATTTTCCCTGATCAATATACGCATTAAGTACTAATTTTTTTCTATAATTACTTACAAAATAATATAATTAGAGTGGGGCCTCTAATTATTAGGGGACTTCAATTCAAAGAGGCTAAGTTTGCTTTCTGCTGTAGAAATGGCTTAAACAAGATACTATAATAATTATACAGTTACAGTATATATTTGTGACCACAAATGTGAAGCTTGCTTTGAATTAAACCTGAAAAAAAAAGGTTTCCCACACGTTAGGACTGTTAAAATTAGCATGCTAGCATGGTTACTGGTCCTTTGGTCCTTACAAGTCTACAGACAGTTTATTTGCCTTGTTACTGTAGTTAGAAAATGCATTTTCTGCCTACATTAGAGGTCCCTCAGCTGAAATACACGTTTTTTTCCTTTAGTAACATTGATGGAAGATGCATCGGTGGAAATGTTAGGGATTTACAAACCCTGCTAGAAAAACTAGCATAAACCAGCATGCCTGAACACCACCAAAACCAGGATATGCTAATTAACCAGCATGCGCATGCTAGGTGACTAGCTAAACTAGCACTAGACCAGCGTGGAATTCTTGGAAGTGAGCAAGCAGGCCAGTGTTAAAATGCTAAAAGTGTTTAAATGCTATTTCTTTTTCGTAGCAGTCGATCGTTTTTAGATTAAACAATGCGAGTAAAGCTGCAGTTGTGCTGTTTTATCTTGGCACGGCCACCTTTGTGGAGAGGCGTGAATTTTTTCTGATTTGGCACTCTCGCGATTCAAGCGGTTGTAATTCCAGGTCCAGTTAAGTTTGCTACTGTTTCAGACGGCTAGCTAGCCAGCTCTGGTGTGTTTATTACTGAGGATAAACAAGAACGTAGCAGCTAGCTAGCTATCCAGAGCTGTGGGTAAATTATTTAGACTGCGCTGGGTGACAAAGGGTGACGAGTTCAGCGCGTGCTTTTCGGCGGCCTGAAAACCTTCATCACGTCCCTGTGCAGTAAAATTTACAAAAAAAGTTGAGATGATGGTTAAAATGATGCTATTTCTGAACTCCACCACCGCTCACTGTTGTTTAGAGCCAGATCAGGGTTGCCAGATCGGGAAGGATCAACATTTTATTGTAACTTGATAAGGAAATAATTATTTAACAGACATTTTTTTTTAAAGACAGTTTTATTAAAATGCAAGACAAACAAATACAATTTATGCAACAGTGCTAAATGAGAATAAAAGCCACACTTAGTTATTATTAAAATGAAACATCTTTTCTTACAGTTTTAGAATATTCAAAAATGAAAATGGGCCATTCTCCATTTGGAGCGGGAAGAGATTTCACGCCTAAAATATTAGGCACGGCTCGAAAAGTTGGTATGCACATTTACACAGTTGACCTAAGATTAAATAACACATTTCCCTCATGATTTCTTATTTTATCCTGTTTCATAGTCGCTCTGCATCTGAAAAACCTCTCGTCACAAAACCAATTTTCAAACCATTTTTAATATAAAACAATACTTTTAAGAGGTTTCACTTATGAATTTGTATGAAACAGATTCATGTTTACTTTTTATATCATTAACGTTATACTACATTTAAAAATATATGTATTTTATTTTGGGTTACTGGTGTTCTGAGGACTCTTATATTACATTTTAACACATTTTCAGCTCTATTAAACTGCTTCTTTGGTTCAAGGCTCATCAGAAAGGAAGCATCTCAAAGCATGAGAAGGCGAGTCACACCTGCTCATTATATTTCATTAATTTATTAATAATTTTGTTTATCAGGCAGCTCATAACTTCTATGTGTCACTGGTGTTATGTGCTTTAATGTCATTAAAAAAATTGTCAAAATAATGCCAAATATCATTTATATCATTGATATATCATTGATCAAGGTCACCTGACCAACAATGAGTCAGCCGATTTACAAAATCCTGGATTGTCACTGGAGTTACAGTCACCAGTGACTGTGAAATATGTCTCGAATTAAACTCTCCTTCTTACATATATGATAATAGGAGATGTTAAAGGACAGATTAAGATTATTTAGTTATGGGATGAAAGAAATAGATTTTTAAAAAATGTATCCGCCTGAATTCCTACTCCAAATGGAGAATGACCCACATATTCAGTTGTTGCAGCCCTACAATGTGAGCCAACGGTGTCCTCGTTAATGTGATAACAGATTTTTAGGTGAAAAGGTATTTTATAGCATTGAAAAATATCCAAGTTAATTCCCATTTTAGCAGCAGAACGGCCACTAGGGGGCCTCCAGAAAGAGGCTACATAACCTTGGTGTGCTGTTAGAACATGTGAAAACCGCATGTTAAGAGGCTTGGGGTGATCTTTATTCTTGATCTCAGGTCTGATGAACAAATCTGTCTAAAAAACAACGACAAAAAAAATCTTCTTTCCAAGGTTTCGAGAAGGTTATACATGCACTAATGTCATGTTGTTTGCATTACTGGCCTGTAGTTTATTCTTATTTGTACAGGATGCTGTTGCTTTATGATTATTGATTTTTATGATTTATGATTTATGATTATTGTTTTTCTAGGCCCTAAATGGATCTGCACCCTCTTAAATCACAGAGGTACTCCAGCTGTACTCTTCTTACAGCCCCTAAGGGGCTTCAGGGTTTTTGCATTGTCACAACTGAAGCTCGAAGGCCGCCAGGCTTTTGCACCGAGGTTATATAACGGCCTACCACCAGAAAATGAGAAGACCTTTGATGAAGATGCTGAACTTTAAGCTGGCTGAATTACATCAAGCTCTTTCGTGCATGTAAAGAACTTCACAGGTGGCACATGTGGTCTCTGCTGCGGAAGTGATCACGCTCCACCCTTGTACTTTCAGGACACTCACATGGGAATTGCTTTTTTTTTCTTTTTTTTTTACATGCAATTTCACAAAAACCACATGTGAAGTAAACATTAGCATGTGCTACCGTGCAGTCAGTGGATGTTTCACTAATGTTTTCTTTTCATTCATGTCATTTCTCCTGTGTTTCATGATGAGCGTCACTGGGGCCGCTGAGATCATTCTGAAAGTGAAGCTTCGTTGAACTTATCGAGTCTGCCTGCAGTTTCCAAGGTTCCAGTATTACCAAAGAATGTAGAAGTACCATATATAGGGGGTTCCTCTTTTTTCTTTCTTTTTCGTTGAGTCTGTTCCTTACACTCCATAGAGATGTATTGTAATGGTTCATGGAAAAGAAAACAGTGCAATTCTAAAAACTGATGTTCCAGTAGCATTTAAAAGAACATCAAGAATTTCCTATAAGACGGCTGGGCCAGACCGACTGATAACATGTGATAACATCCCATAATATCGCAATGATATCCCATAATATTGACCTGACCTAATTATATATACATATATATATATATATACTGCTGTAGGGACAAAACCTTGTCTCTCCATTTTTTGTCGTTTTTTAGTTTTTGACATAATTTGAAAATATCTGTTGACTTTTACATTGTGTGTAAATTTCATGATGAATGGACAAAATTAAATGGCCTAAAATGACTTGGAAAAAAGTCTGGTTCCATTGACTTACATTAAAAGTAAAGAAGGTTTTTTCCTTCTCCTGTAAAGTTGTCATTTTGGAGATATGATGTTTTGTTATATATATATTTTAATTTTATATTGTGATATCTGTAATTAAACAGTGCCTTGATAGTATTAAAGAAACATGCTCTCGCACAGCACAGTTCATGATCGTACTTACTTTGTAGCTTTCTCTGAGTTGTTTTGGGTGCGCTGATACACAGGCCTCTCATATCTTATAGATTTATTGATTATGTTCAGTTAATCTGATCTTGATTTTTATGGAGGCAGCTGATGTTGAGGGAGGAATTTTCAGCTGTACTCACCAACTACAATTCAAATCTTCAGTAAGGTGAAAATGTATTAACCTAAACATTGTCAAATGAATTGAAAAGTGAGACAATCGCATCATTGACCTCGTGTTTGAGTTCTGTGCTTGGGCATGTCTAGCTATCACACTAGATAATAGAGCCTGCCTCTGTAATCATGGTACGGAGTGATCACACTAGTCATTTAAGTTTGAGGGTCAAACGTGCTCTTTACCCATATCATGGAAAACCAAATGAATTTGACTAATTTTATGCATAATCAAATAAGTAAGATGTAAACAAAGTCCATTCTGGAGAAAATTTTTCCCATAGTTAAAGAGAACTGCAGTGGTGTTCAAGAGTACCAGACACCTGAAGCATTTAACGGCTCTGTGCTCGGGCGTGGTTCGCTATCACACTAGACAATCGAGCCTGCCTCTGTAAGCATGGTACACACTAGTCCTTTAACTTTGAGGGTCAAACGTGCTCTTTACCCATATCATGGAAAACCAAATGAATTTGACTAATTTTTACTCATAATCAAATAAGTAAGATGTAAACAAAGTCGATTCTGGAGAAAATTTTTCCCATTGTTAAAGAGAACTGCAGTGGTGTTCAAGAGTACCAGACACCTGAAGCATTTAACGGCTCTAAAAGCTTCCTCTCAGAAAGTCATTAGTTTGCTGATTCATGATCCGGTGCCTGAGATGTTGTTTTAGGATAATTCTGAGATAAGCTTTTGGTCTACAACATATTTTTAAAGGCCGATCATGCCGGAGAAGTACATTAAGGATGTTATAAGACAAAAAAGTTCCAAAATAGTTTGGCATTATCAGGATTGCAGATAAAAAGGCATGTAGGTTTTTAAGTCATTTTGGATGGTAAATCAAATGGCTATATTTGCATGAAGCCTGGTTCCTGTCACCACCACTGTAGGGAAATCTGATCTGGTAAGCTTCCCTACGATTACACCAAAATACTCCAAATGGCTTTGTTAAAGTCGGCCTCAAGTTGGAGAAATCGATGGAATATCCACTTTAAGCACTTTCAAAGGAAAATAACAGGTTCACAAAGACAAAGAGTAGAGTAGAACATATATCTTTAACCCCTTAAATGGCCAGGGCCCACCAGCCGTCCCAAAGTTTTATTACACACATCTATGAGCTAAGAATAACTCAACCAGTTTGCATCGAAGTCCCTGTGGTTACTGAATAATAAGCCTCAGTATGTAATAAGCCTGGGATTTTAAGGACAAAAATAAACGGTCCAAAATGACTTGGAAAAAAGTCTGGTTCCATTGACTTACATTAAAAGTAAAGAAGGTTTTTTCCTTCTCCTGTAAAGTTGTCATTTTGGAGATATGATGTTTTGTTATATATACATTTTAATTTTATATTGTAATATTTGTGATTAAACAGTGCCTTGATAGTATTAAAGAAACATGCACTCGCACAGCACAGTTCATTTGTTGTTTTGGGTGCGCTGATACACAGGCCTCTCATATCTTATAGATTTATTGATTATGTTCAGTTAATCTGGCAGCATAGGACGATTTTTATGGAGGCAGCTGATGTTGAGGGAGGAATTTCTGCTTTACTCACCAACTACAATTCAAATCTTCAGTAAGGTGAAAATGTATTAACCTAAACATTGTCAAATGAATTGAAAAGTGGGACAATCGCATCATTGACCTCGTGTTTGAGTTCTGTGCTTGGGCATGTCTAGCTATCACACTAGATAATAGAGCCTGCCTCTGTAATCATGGTACGGAGTGATCACACTAGTCATTTAAGTTTGAGGGTCAAACGTGCTCTTTACCCATATCATGGAAAACCAAATGAATTTGACTAATTTTATGCATAATCAAATAAGTAAGATGTAAACAAAGTCCATTCTGGAGAAATTTTTTCCCATTGTTAAAGAGAACTGCAGTGGTGTTCAAGAGTACCAGACACCTGAAGCATTTAACGGCTCTGTGCTCGGGCGTGGTTAGCTATCACACTAGATAATAGAGCCTGTCTCCGCAAGCATTGTACGGAGTGATCACACTAGTCATTTAACTTTGGGGGTCAAACGTGCTCTTTACCCATATCATGGAAAACCAAATGTCCCAATAAACCCCTTTTTTTCGATACACTATGTAAACAAGTTTCAAAACACCAGTTGCTGCCCAGTCCATTCAGTCTATATGTGGAAGTTGCAAATATAGTCCATTTTGAATTCCTTACTTTTGTGATGTCATAAAACCCAAACATTTACGTATTTGCACCTGTTCTGCCTTCAGCCGTTTAATCCTGCCCATTCACACTGAAGGTGTAAGGAATGTTTCATGATAGACTGCATTTTGAATGACGCACAATTCAGGACGGCCAATCAGAATGGAGGTCGTTTACATATATTCTTAAAGGCACTGCCTGTTTTATCCTGAGGCATGAAGAGAGGTTGGAAAATGGTCATGTATATGTTTTTGTTATACCCATGATGGTGTTTTATTGGTTCATTCTGTATTACTGACATATACTGACTTAACCGTGAGGGCTTCATATTGGCTTCCTCAGTCTCATGTTTTGCTGTATTGCTGAGACATTGCAACCTAAAACTAATTATCAGTGAACCACTAAAACTGTGGGTCGTCAGTATAGACCAGCTGATATATTGGTTGGACCCTATTAAATATTTATTGTACTCAATGAACTCTGGACAGAAAAAAAGCTCTAAAAGTGAGGAAGTTCAAGAGTTTAAAAGTTGGTATTTATTAAACAGCAAACATGCTGTGTTCGCAGTCCACAAAGCAAAAGAAAAACAGTCTCACAGCAGCTGTGGTTCGTGCATGGAACCACTGACCTCCTTCACGTTTTCCAGAAAAGAGAAGGCCTGCCTTTCTTTCATAGTTAACAAAGCCAGCTGAGAAAAGTCTTGACCCAAGTGTCTTTCAAACCAAATGCAAAGCAAAGCTATAAAAAAGAGGATATAGCTGAGCCACAAGTGGCTGGCTTTGGTTTGACAGTATGAGCTTCACCTTTTCTCTTTTCACTTTCAGTTTGTTAACTATTCTGTAATTACAGCTTTACAAATTACACATCTACGTGGCAAACAATCCAGGAACGGAATCTACGTTATACCTGTAATTTATCATGGGAGAACAACAAATACCGAAAATGAAACGCGTCTCTACATGTGGGACTTCTTAGTATTATTAGCATGGAATCAACAGTGCATGACTTGGTTTTAAAGGGAATTTGACAAATTTTTACTCATAATCAAATAAGTAAGATGTAAACCAAGCCCATTCTGGAGAAACTTTCCCAATTGTTAAAGAGAACTGCAGTGGTGTTCAAGAGTACCAGACACCTGAAGCATTTAACGGCTCTAAAAGCTTCCTCTCAGAAAGTCATTCGTTTGCTAATACGTCATCCGGTGCCTGAGATGTTGTTTTAGGATAATTCTGAGATAAGCTTTTGGTCTACAACATATTTTTAAAGGCCGATCATGCCGGAGAAGTACATTAAGGATGTTATAAGACAAAAAAGTTCCAAAATAGTTTGGCATTATCAGGATTGCAGATAAAAAGGCATGTAGGTTTATAAGTCATTTTGGATGGTAAATCAAATGGCTATATTTGCATGAAGCCTGGTTCCTGTCACCACCACTGTAGGGAAATCTGATCTGGTAAGCTTCCCTACGATTACACCAAAATATTCCAGATAGCTTTGTTAAAGTCGGCCTCAAACTGGAGAAATCGATGGAATATCCACTTTAAGCACTTTCAAAGGAAAATAACAGGTTTACAAAGACAAAGAGTAGAGTAGAAAATATATCTTTAAATTCTGAAGTACACATCTGGGAACAGACTTCTTCATTGTCTTTCTCAGTAATACTGACTAATTAAGTCCTTTAGAGAAAAGAAAAGAAAAGAAAAAAAACAATACTTGAGGAGCTACAACTTGACTGAATACAATAAAGGAGTGTCTGCATACTTATTAACATAGTAATGGCTTAAAAATAGGTTAAGCATCAGGTTACACCAAGTTTCACACTGAACTGAAAGTAATTGCAGCATATTTATGAGTACCTGCCCCTTTAAAGAGCGAGTTACTTGAAGTGGGTGTGTATAGAAAAGCGTTGAATGCTGTGTTTACCTTGAGTCTTCTACAGCTGGAGGACTGTCTGTGTAGGCTCTCTGGTAAGTAAGCAAAAAGCTTTGTTTTAGATGTAAAAAATGTTTTTTTTATCATGAATCATGAATGAATGAATCAGAAATGGTGGCAACAGTATAGGCTACTATTATAGCCATGGTGTACATAGTCATTATAACCAACTGTATCTTCAATCATCTGTGAAATCCGAGTTATACCACTGCATAGTTTATAGAAATGCCACGGATTTGTTGGGATTTTGCCTCAAAGGTCTGATTCAGAGCTAATAATGTGCCACAGCGGCATCTTTATGGCCATAACATGGTCGTTTCAGTAGGATATGGACAAGCAGAAAGCTTTGAA